CTCCGTAAACAAAATGTGGATTTGGGAAAGGGTTTAATGGCAAAGGTGAAATAATCAGCTATATGCAGATTTACTCTTCTGAAGAATTATGAGGATTCCTGCTACTCAGGTCACATTCAGGCCACCCATTTCAGTGAGATGGTTCAATGGGGCAAATCCTACCCCGCCCTACCCCAAGGTGAATTCAAATTAAAGGCAACATTTCTAGATTTATAGACCAGAGAATTTTCAGTTTCTCTTTCTATTCCTCTATAATTTTCTAAAATCTTCTTTGAAAAAAATCTATTTATATACTGTCTTCAGCACTAGAATAGAATCTATCTTTTAGGAAGTAACATAATAATTTATTTATATATATATATAGTGAGTCACATTTCAACTTCATATTTGTAACAGTAAAATTGCCCTACTGTTAATGTCCTCACTACACACACACACACACACACAAACACACACACACACACACACACACACACACACACAGTGTATTCATGTCAGAGATGGTATTCTGCCAGTTCACCCCAGTTCGGGAGAATGAGTAGTGGTGGCAGCGGGAGGCTCCACCCACCTGCCCAGACGTCATTACGGAAGCTCTGTGCATGTGCAAGAAGTGGAGTGCGCACTCCCAGTTCTAAACCGGTAGTAAACATAAATACAGTGGGGGGGGAGAGGGAGGTAGTGAGAAAGGGAGAGAGAGATTTTATGTTGCAAACAAGAGTCTTGGAAACATTAGGCACTAAGTTTCAGAAAAGAGAATTAGGAAGAACAAGCCAGGAATTTTTTTAAAGAATTAAAAGATGGTTATAATAACCATCCCTTTTCTTATTATGCATTTGATTAAACTAGTAGATAAATTTTCTTATTATGCATTTGATTAAACTAATAGATAGATTTTCTAAAGCATTATGTTACAGATAATAAGGTATCTTCATTTATTTTCGATAAAAATTAAGTTTGTCCCTATGTGGGAAATGAAAACAAACATTCCACTTTGTGCCACTGGATAACATTCAAAAGTAACTAATAAAAAAAGTAATATAATTAAAACATAATTAAAAATCTAATTATACCACTGACTACTGAAGCTACTTCACGGTATACTGTGCAATAGCCTATTTTAAAAACATCCCAGTGAAATTCTGTAATAAGAAATTCACACACATACACACACACACAGAAAATATAAACAAAAGTGGAAACAAAACTAGCGCTTATCACCCTTTGATGTCATAATCATTATTTAATACCTGTACCTGGCATTCAATTAGACAGTAATTAGATACATTAGCCAGGCAGTAACAATTTTAGAGGCACAATATTATTGTTCGCATGTTTGAAAAATACAATTCCCAGCCAGCATCAGATCAGCACCCACCCTGTTGGCACTTAACAAAAGCTGCCATGGCTATTTCTGAAAGCTTTGTGGAATGGACAGAATGGTCGGTCCCCCGCCCTACAGTTAGTGATTGTTTTATGGAGAGTAATATTCCTTGGAGGGACAGATGTGGGGGCTAATATTACTCCAAGCTTTCTATTACGTTACTATCATTTATTGTTTCAACACTATTGGAGTTTCTGTCACATACAGTCATCTATGATTGAAATAGCCTCTAAACTGAACTATATACCTAAATATAAATGTCTGTTAGTATTTATATTCCCTACAGCAACAGATTTACATCCAGGTCAACAATTAAAAGGGGCTTAAACTTTGTCCTGTTTTTTTTTTCCTTTGCCGGTAAGAGAAAATGATTATTTCCATTTGGAGTCCATGCCCATCCTGCCTTTTCTTACCTCTCTCCCTTTCTGCCTAGTTCTTTCTCCAGATGTCTTTGTAAAAAAAACCTATTTATTGCCCTTAATCCCTTTGGCTATTATTAACTCATTTTGCATAGTTTTTTCCCTGCCAACCCTGACTAACTGTATTCTTGTTTAGCTGCCTCTTCTGTTCTTCTTTCCAGGGTAATGTTCTTTCTGATCTTCTAAGAAGATCCTGGAGCTGTTTCTTAAGCAAATTTCTTCCTTTCTCCCTTTTCCCCCTCTCTTCATAAATTCACCATATTAGAGCATTTAAGATTTCCTTTATTTCTCCATTGATAATCATTTCCTTATTTTGTGTGGTACATTTCTATTTCAGAAAGAAGGTTCCAAGATGCTTGAGGCAAAGAAAATGGAGGTGGTCCCATTTCATTCTCACTTGGAAGTGTGGGGAAGGGTGTTTAAGAGGATGTCTTAGGCAAAAGTAAACACATCCAATTTGCTGCTTTAACACAAACACACACATACAAATGAAAGGACCACAACATTGGGTCTTCCGTTGCCACTGACATTGTGGTATCACTGAAAAGTGTGCTCTCTGGATGTGAGAAAGTTAGGCAGCATTGATCAAAGGAGATCTATAATCTGTGGGGTTAAACCCCCAAGTGGCCTCAAGAGCTCTCAGAGAGTGCTGAGGACCAGATGATTGCAAAGAAATATGATCCTTCCATCCCCACCACCATCCCATATGAACTGTCAGTCCCTACCTATCCTTCCACCCCCCCGCCCCTGCCAGCAGAACTGATGAAGCTTCTTGGATGACAAGCAAAACATTTTCTTCTTCTTCAAGAAAAAAAAAACAGTCCAGTTGCCTTTAGAAGAAAAAAGCACTTTTGGGACAACTACGACCTAGATGACTGAGAATCTCCACAGACGGTTAGACATAACGTAACTTCTCCTTACAAATCATTCCCGCCACTCCTTTAAAACGTGTCTGCAGCCTCCATTAATTTCACAACCGCACACAAGATCCACATTAAAGAGCATCTGCACGGCAGAGCTCACTTGCCTCTTGTAAATCACATTCCTCCGGTGCCAACAAGAATTTTTTAGAAGATTTTTGAAAGCACATAAAGGAATAAAGCAGAACAAACTCACCTGGAAGGGAGTTCCAAAGAACGGGACAGCAATGGAAAACACCCACCTCCAAGGCCCTATGACTGTGATGGCGAAGCATGTGTGCCACAGGGGACACGTGGAGCCCTCTCTGCGTGCACGTGAGCCATCGGCCCAGCTGAGTTCCACCGCGCATGCACACGGGCCTCTCACCAGCCAGCTGATTTTTGGGTCACTGCCATGCATGTGCAGGGGGAAGGGCGCATGTGGGAGATGAGCACACATGCATGGGGGTGGGAGAAGCATGGGGGGTGCAGCGTGCCTCCCCTAGACCCCATTCTTTGTCCCAGAAGGCTTCAGGGATGCTGATAGCCCAAAATGGGTCGGGGGGGTGCAGCGCCTATGCATGCAGGGTGGGGGTCATGCATGCATGCGCATTGGGTGGGTAGGATCAAATGTGCATTGCATTATGGCTTTTGGCATACAATGACGAAAACGTTAGCCATCATTGCCCTATGACAATCTGAGAGATGACCATGTAGTTTTTGAGTGTGAGTCCAGCATAGCAGTCAAAGTCTGAGGATGACTATGATCTTCCCTAGTTGGATGGGGAATGTTAACGAATATACTGTATTCAGGTAAGATTTTAAAAATAGCTGGCAGTCATGGGAGTCACTGTGACTATGTATGGCAGTGAAAGCTGAAATTTGAAGAAGCAGGATGAGAGAGCCTTGGCGTTTTTTGCACTTTGGTGCTGAAGAAGACTCCTGGGAGTGTGGATAATCAAGCAGACAAACTGCTGGATCATCAAATAAATAAACCTAGAGTTCGTGCTTGAAGCAGAAATGAACAGATTAAAATTATCTTACTTGAAAGACGTTATGTGGCGACCTAGCTCTTTGGAAAAGGCTGTAATGTTACGAATGATGGAAGAAAAAAGAAGAGGACAACTAGCACCAAGAAGGATGGACTTAGTTACAGGGGTCATGAATGAACAGTTGGAAGACTTGGAAAACCAGGTTAGGGACAGACTGTTCTGGAGAAAACCTATGTGGTTGCTAATAAATCCACAGTGACTTGATGGCACATAATCAATTCAATCAATCAGCTATTTAATGGTTTCCCAGAAGGCTAGACTGAAAATTATTAAATTATAAAGAACAAAGTCAGTCTGCAACTAAATCAGCCCATTTTCCACTGGATCCATGCAAGATATGCAAACAAGCTAGGATTATTTATTTATTTATGAAACATATTGACCACCTTGTTGTAGATGGACTGTAGGCCAGCGGTCCCCAACCTTTTCAGCTTGGTGACCCAGCATGGGGTGGGGGAGTGAGGGGCAGGCACACGGACAT